CCAAGAACACAGCCGAAAAATCATCCATTATGATCAAGTAGGCTTCATCCCAGGGATGCAGGGATGGTTCAACATACTAAAATCCATCAATGTAATCCACCATACAAACAAACTGAGAAAGAAAAGTCACGTGATCATCTTACCAAATGTTGAAAAATCCTTTGACAAAATCCAAAATCCACCCCTTCATGATAAAGGCCTTGGAGAGATCAGGGATAACAGGAACATACCTAAACATAATAAAAGCAATATACAGCAAACCAACAGCCAACATAAAACTAAATGAAGAGAAACTCAACATGATTCCTCTAAAATCAGGAACAAGACAAAGCTGTCCACTCTCTTCATACCTCTTCAGTATTGTCCTTGAAGTTCTAGCTAGAGCAATAAGACAACAAAAGGAGATCAAGCGGATAAAATTGGAAAAGAAGAAGTCAAACTTTCACTATTTGCAGATGATATGATAGTTTACATAAGTGGCCTGAAAAACTCTACCAGGGAAGTCCTACGTCTGATCAACATCTTCAGCAAAGTGGCAGGATACAAGATTTAACTAAAAAAAAAATCAGTAGCCTTACTATACACAGAGGATAAATGGACTGAGAAAGAAATCAGAGAAGCATCACCCTTTGCAGTTGCCACAAGTAACATAAAATACTTTGGGATAAAGCTAACCAAATAAGTGAAAGACCTGTATAGCAAGAACTTCGAGTCTTTAAAGAAAAAATTAAAGAAGATACCAGAAAATGGAAAGATCTCCCATGCTCTTGGATAGGTAGCATCAACATAGTAAAAATGGCAATCTTGCCAAAAGAAATCTACAGATTCAATGCAATCCCCATCAAAATCCTAGCTCAATTCTTCACAGACCTTGAAAGAACAATTCTCAACTTTATATGGAAAAACAAAAGACTCAGGATAACCAAAACAACCCTGTACAATAAAGGACCATCCAGAGGCATCACCAATCCTGACTTTAAGCTCTATTATAGAGCTATAATCGTGAAAACAGCTTGGTATTGGCACGAAAATAGACAGGTAGTCCATTGGAATCAATGGACTCTGCTATGGACCCACACACCTATGAACACACCTATTTTTGACAAAAAATCTAAAATTATATGATGGAAAAAGAAAGCATCTTCAACAAATGGTGCTGGCATAAGTGGATGCTGGCATGTAGAAGACTGCCTATAGATCCTTATCTATTGCCATGCACAAAACTTAAGTCCAAATGGATCAAAGACCTCAACATAATTTCAGCCACACTGAACCTCTTAGAAGAGAAACTAAGTAGTACCCTGGAATGAATTTGTACTGGAGACTGCTTCCTGAACATAACACCAGTAGCACAGATCGACAATTGAGATTGACAATTAATAAATGGGACCTCCTGAAACTGAGAAGCTTCTGTAAGACAAAGGACACAGTCAACAAGACAAAACGGCAGCTCACACACTTGTACAGCCACTTTGGAAATTAGTATGGTGGTTTCGCAGGAAAATGGGAATTAGTCTACCACATGATCCATCAATTCAACTCTTAGGCATATACCCAAAGGATGTACATTCATACAACAAGGACATCTGTTCAACTATGGTCATAGCAGCATTATTTGTAATAGTCAGTACCTGGAAGCAACCTAGATGCCCCTCAACTGAAGAATGGATAGAGAAAATGTGGTGCATTTACACAATGGAGTATTACTCAGCAGAGAAAAACAATGGAATCTTGAAATTCGCAGGGAAATAGATGGAACTAGAAGAAACCATTCTGAGCGAGGTAACCCAGTCACAAAAAGACAAACAGGGTATGTACTCACTCATATATGGATTTTAGACCTAGAGCAAATGATTACCAGCCTACAATCCCCTTTGCAAGAGAAACCAGTAAACAATGAGGACCCTAAGACAAACATACATGGTCCCCAGGAGAAGGGGAACGGTACAAAACCTCCAGAGCAAATTGGGAGCATGGGGGGAGGGGAGAGGAAGTTAATAGAAAGAGAAGAGGAGAAGAGGAGGGGAGAGGAGGACATGAGAGAGCAGAAAGATCGAGTCAGGGGAAGAATAGAGGAGAGCAAGAAAAGAGATACGATAATAGATGGCGCCATTATAGGTCTAAAGAGAAATCTGGCACTAGGGATATTTCTGGAGATCTAGAAGGATGACACCAACTAACAATGTAAGCAATAGTGGAGAAGCTACATTAAATGCCCTTCTCTGTTAATGAGATTGATGACTACCTTATATGTCATCCTAGAGCCTTCATCCAGTAGCTGATGGAATCAGAAGCAGACACTCACAGCTAAACACTGTGCAGAACTCTGGAATCCAGTTGCAGAGAGGGAGGAGTGATGATCAAAGGGGTCAAGACCAGGCTGAAGAAATCCACAGAAACAGCTGACCTGAACAAGGGGGAGCTCATGGACCCCAGACTGACAGCTGGGAAACCAGCATATGACTGTTCTAGACCCCTTGAATGTGGATGTCAGTTTGGAGGTCTGATTAGCCCATGGGACCTCTGGTAGTGAATCAGCATTTATTCCTAGTATAAAAATGGACTTTGGGATCCCATTCCACATAGAAGGATACTCTCTCAGCTTAGATACACCAGGGCAGGTCTAGTTCTTGCTCCAAAGATGACAGACTTTGATCCCCCATGGAAGACCTCACCCTCCCTGGGGAACAGAAAGGGGATGGGACAGGGGCCGGTGGGGGAGGGAGCAGGGGAGAAGGGGAGGGAGAGAGAACTGGGATTGACATGTAAAACAAGCTTGTTTCTAATTTAAATAAAAAAATAAGAAAAAAGAATTTAAGAAATTGTTCGTCATCCCTAGCAAATAAGGATATGCAAATGAAAACAACCTTGAGATTTAACCTCATTCCAGTCAGAATGGTTCAGTTCAACAAAACAATAAATGCTTGAGGGGATGTGTGGGAAACAGAGCCCTCATTCACTCTGGGTGAGATTGAAAACCAGTGTAACACAGTGGGAATCAGTGTGGAGAATTCTCAAAAAGCTAAAAATAAACCTGCATGAGCCAGCTATACCACTCCTTAGTATACTCTGAAAGGACTTGACAGGCACTCCACAGCTTGCTCCAGGACTTGCTCAGTCGTGTTCATTGCTGCCCTATTCACAATAGCCAGAAAATGAAAACAGCATAAATGTCCTACAGCCGATGAATGAATAATGAAAATGTGGTACGTGTACACTCTGAAATACTATTCCGTGGTAAAGAAATACAAAATCATGAACTTTGCAGGTAAATGAATTGAACCAGCAAATATTGAGTGAGGTAACCCTCACCCAGAAAGATAAAGGTCTCATCATGTACTCCAAGCTCCAAATAAAAAACTTAAGGAATAAACCACTTGCTTTTATACTGTTGAGCCTTTGTAATTTTTCACATATTCCTATATTCTTCTCTCATCAGCTATACAGTTTATAAGTCTTTTCCCATTACGTAGGTTGTAGCTCCATTTTGTTGATTATGTCCATTGCTTGACAAAAACTTTTCTTTTTTATGTAATCTCGTTTGCCAATTTTTGCTTTTGTTTCCCATGATTTAGGGTCCTTGTCTAAAGAAAAAAGATCCTTGACTTACATTTAACTATTCAATCTATTTTGACTTGAGTTTTATAAATTGTGAGAGACAGGAATCTAGATGAATTCTTTGGTTCATGGATGGATAGCACTTAATAACAAATCTTTTCCTTTTCCCAACTGTATTATTTACACTTTTGTAAAAATTCAGTTAGAAAGCTTTCTCTGTAGATACTAGGAAGATACTTGAAACATCATATCACTGAATGACACAGGGTATTTTTATGTTTCTAATAACACATGCATTCATATAAGGAATATGTATGTGTATGTATAGATTATAAATATCACAAGGTTTTATGATTTTCATTGGCTTTTTTCTTTTGAGACAGGGTTTCACTGTGTAACCCTGGATGTTCTGGAACTCACTCTGTAGACCAGGCTGACCTCAAACTCACAGAGATCCACCTACCTGTGCCTCCCAGTGCTAGGATTAAATGTGCCAAACACCATGCCCAGCTTTGCATTGGATTGTTAATAAAAATTCCTGGCAGTTGGCAACACAAAGCATTATTCCTTTAAAAATGTTCAGTTGGTTGTAGGTGCTTGGCTTCTGGGCTCTCTACCATTCATTGCTCCACGTGTCAGATTTTATGCCAGCACCATGATGTTTTGATTTCCCCAGCTTTGTAGAATGTTTTAAATCCAGGTAATACATTGTTCCCTTGTTTATTTTCTGCCAACTGTTCCTTTGGCTGTTTGTTTCATTTAAGTTTGTTTTTTAATTCTGTAAAGAATGTCATTGAGGAGCTGGAGAGCTACTCGGTGTTCTTGCAGAGGTCACAGGTTTAGTTCCCAGGACTTATTTATACGGGGTAGCTCACAACTGCCTATAACTCCAGCTCCAGGAGATGCGACAACCTCTCCTATTTCCTTCAAGCACTGAATTCACATGCACAAACCCACACAATTAAAGCATTACACATTTTTATAAAAAGATTGTCATTTGTATTTCAATAGGAATTGTAATGAATACAGTATGAACATCTTGTCAGTATTGATCTTTGTGGTTCATAAGCATATGGTGCCATTCCATTTTTGTGTGTACATATTCACCAAGTTCTTTTAAAAGAGATCAAGAGTACATTTTATTATTATTTAACAAGAGCACATTTATTTATTATTATTAGTGTGTGTGTGTGTGTGTGTGTGTGTGTGTGTGTGTGGGCAGGTTTCTTTCTGCTATGTTGTGTGTATAGAAGAATGACTTTTAGGGGTTGGTTCTCCCCTTCCACATGTAGCTCAAGGAGTTACACTCGGGTCCTCAGGTTTGGTAAACAGTGCTCCTACTCACTAATCCATCTTGATTGCCCTAAAGATGATATTTTTACTTATCATTTCAGTTTATGGCAATCCATTATAATCTAAAATGTCTTCAGGGACAAAAAATGTCACTGCAGCCCCAGCTTCACTTTTGCATTCAGGCTACAAGTTCCTGCAGAGCACTGTGTGCTTGAAGCACAGAGGTAGGAGGCTGAATCTCCTGCTTGTGCAGCTGTGATGTGCAAGGAGACGAGTCTCGCATTTTTATCCAGCATCACTGTGAATCTTCCCTCCGTCCGTCTGTTCACATTGGAGCGAATGTCTGCTAGGAGAGTAAGGCCTCGCCTTCCATCCCTCTTATACCAGGGGAAATAATTAAATGCCGCATTTGTGTAAGTACAGTTGATGACAGCTGTTTCTTTTTCCCAGATGTCCAGGATGGAAGGAGACTGTATCACCGTGTTTGCTTGGCCACTCACCACTGTTGAGATAGTAAAGATGAGTTACTGGGTCACCTTCAGAATTTACCATTTATTTCTAGGAATATCTATGAGAATCTTGGGAGAGGGTTATCAGGATGGACCCTTCTGCTTCCCCAGACTTTTGTGGTGAAGCCTTTCAGGAAGCCCAGGGGTGACTTACAGTTCAGATGAACACAGAGGAGCATGGACAAGGCTTCAAAGGATATCTCCATTCTTCTTGTTTAAATCAACAGTGAGCTATACTTCCTGGGAAGGAACATATTCTACTGATGATTGTTCTGTTCTTTCTTATCTTGGCTCTAAGCCAATAGAAAACTTCTCTGCCCACAAATACAGGGTTGAACTGAGTGAAGCCACCTTTTCTTTGCATGTGAAACGAAGCACTGCCACCTGGTGTGTAGTTCTGACTGCTGCTGAAGAGGGCAGGGTACCCGGGCATTCTGTCTTTGGAAGGAGAGCCAGCATATATGCTTCCCAGAAACCCTCTTGCTACACAAGTGGAACAAATGTTTCTAGTGACCATATTGCAGACTTTGCCTTTTAATTTCTTATTGTATACTCATTCTTTATGAGATTGGAGACTTGGAAACAAAGAGTCAAATCTGTCATTGGAAAGTATAAATATACCTTAGTCATGATCTAGACTAGCATGCAGGCAAAAAGAATGTCATTCAGTGATGCTATCTATACCCTGTTTATACAGTAGCAAGTACACAGTCCAGAAAAAAAGACATTACTGCCTGGTAATGTAACTTCAGTATTTGAACACAGTGGTGCTAAATAAACTGCAGCTAAACCTCAGAGCCACAAAGAAAGTTCTTAACATCAATGTATCCTCCTGAGTGTTAAGAAAAGCAAACTCCTAGGAGCTGTCAGACACACAGATATGAGATCTTAACACTTAACAGCTCCAGAGATGGCTTGTTACCTCGAAATGGCTGTTCCTGGCTCCCTCCAGAATGCCTGAGAGAAAAACCCTAGACATATAATTAGAGATTCATTTTAATATTTCTACTAAATATTTAATATGCACGAATGAAGAGAAGACAAGATAAAGTCTCCCGAGAGACAGTTCCACTTACTCACTTGATTTCTTAGACCATGCTTGATCCAGTCTAGAACATCCAAATCTTTAGTTTTTAGTAGAGATCTTAGATCCAATAGGAAAAATACACTGACAGAAGCCAAGTGATGATGGCTTCACCCTTTCACAGGAGTCTAGTGACCTCACATCTATCAGAGCGGAGGCGACAGGCTGCAGAGTTTGGAAATGTTGGCAGCACCAGGTCATTCACTGATTTTTTTCTTACAGATATGTTTATAATCAGTTCTATAAAATTTGTGTGGTGTCATTGGCTATAAATCTCCTTTGGGAAAGTTAGAGAACTTATGCACAGTGAAGTTTACTGGAAGCTTCGTCTTAATGAGGAAATGAAGGTTGTATGCAGATTTACAGTTTCAATAGGCTTATTTGCAAAAATGTTGGGGCATGGTTTATGGTTTATGGAAAGAAAAGCAAAACATGTAAACTTAAATTAGATAAAACTCAGCAGAATTTGCCAGGTGCCTAAAATACCAGAAACAATTAATTTAGGATGGAATTGGAAAGAGTCTTTTTTGTAAAGCCTTTGGAGAATGATTTTATTTCAGTCCCAAAGAGATGCTTCACAACTGCTTCCTGAAGTAGAGGCACCATTTAAATATTCAAAACAGCAGGAGACAGGTATTTCTGTTAGGCAACCTCAGGAGGATGGGCTACACTGTGTACTTTTCTTCTGTCAGGTAAGCAATGGACTTGGTTGGAAGAGTAAACAGATCTTTCACCCGGAAGCTTCAGTACAATTTCTCAACTGTGCATATTTAAAAGAGGTCCTGCAGTAGCAAGGGGTCAACTAACAGAAGATGGTGGCTTATATCACGTTTAAAAATAATTCTTTGACAATTTCATGCATTGGGTGTATTAAATTTTGGTCATTTTGCCACTTATTTCCCTTTCTCATCATCTTTGCTCTTCTGTGACCCACTGAGTTTTATTATGATTGCTTTTGGGAGCATGAGTCAGGTGCTGTTTACTGTAACAGAAGTGGCTACACTACTTAGGACAATGACACCCTGTCTCCGGCACCCATTAAATTCCCTTCACTCCTTCATTGAGGGATGAATCGGTCTCACCAGCCCCCTTCCCCTGGGACATGAAGTAATGAACCCAATTTTGTGTAGGTTTAAATTCCTGCCATTCTTTCCTGTTTCTTCTCCCACTAGTTGTGTGTGATCAACCTGTTCTTTCATTTCCGACAAAGTTTGAATTCTGGCTCTCTTCCTAATATGTAATCTCAGCAACCACATTTTTAAGGGAAAACAAACAAACAAACAAACAAACACCCTCCCACTTTCCATTTGTTTGCCCTGGGACCAACATGGCTTAGAGGATCGCCTCTGTCATGGAGTATTGGCCATGATTCCAGTTGGTGGTCAGTCCCTGATTTGTACTCTACTCTGACCTTCATCTGTACATACTTCCTAGGGGGAGAAAGGAAAAAGGAATTTCTAGTTTACATACCTTGTTGATAGTTTCCCAAGACTGTATTCAGAGTTCCACGTTCACCCCTGAACCCCATGTAAACACTGCCTTTGATGGTGCACATCAGTAATTCCAGCACCAGGGAGGTGGGGACAGGAGGATCCCCGAACTTCTGTCCATCTCATCTGGCGACATTGGAAGGCTCCCAGTTCCCTGAGAAACTTGTAACAAAAATAGAGAATGATTGGCAAAGATGACGTCTGTCTCTGGCCTCCTCATGTGCCCACACGTCACATTCTCATGCATGTATGCGTACACACATGAAGACAATCATGAGCCCTAGAACCCAGATACTTTCCTGTTACAATAAACTATATTGGTTGTAATCTATGTGGAATAAAACGTTGTATTTCAAGTGTTACCATTTAAATGTATTTCGACAAATGGGCATATACCCATGTGACCATTACTCTAATTAATTTATAAAATATCTTATCACTTTATAAGTTACTTTGTGACCTCTGTTGCCAATGCCTTCCTTCCCTTCCCATCTTTGGGTAACTTTGATCTGATTTTCTCACCAAAGAGTAGATTTCCTTTCTTTGCATTGCATACATATATGAGGTTGTATGATATATGCTCTTTTATATTTAACTTTTTCAGGGTAATATTTTTAATCCACACTGATTGGTGGGCCAGTAGTTTACTTCCCCATGTTTCTGAATAATGTTCAACTTAATGAGCACACCCCTGCATGTTTGATGAATTATACACCCTTTCTTTGGCTGTCTGCTATTGAGACATGCAGTGAATTTTCTTTTAAGGCATTACAATGTGCAGTTCTAACATTTCTACTTATTTTTAAGGTTTCTATTTCTCTGCTGAGATTTTATTTCTGTTTGCCTATGAAGAATGCATATTTCTTTCATCCTGAGGACTCATTTTCCATTAGTTCATTGTACATATTTATTATAGCTGATTTAAAGATGTTTATCTATTAAACTGAGACATCTCAGCTACTTTCTATTGGTTGTTGATGTTTTTCAAGACCATGAATCATACTTTTCTAGTTGCTTTTGGTTGTATAATGATGATCAATGATTCTGATATGCTTTAAATTCCAGAATATTTCTCTTTGCTACACTAAATTCTTATCAATAAATCAATTAATAAAAGCTTGTTGCTTTCTTACTACATACCAGTGTAGTGCTAGGTTTGCTGTTAGGGAATCTTAATGGTTGTATTTGGGTAAACAGGTAATACAAATTGTGTTGACAGCACACGGCATCTGAAAAAGCTCAAAATCATGCAGAAGAAATCAGTGGAGAAAACTGATGTCAGATTAAAACTGTGAGTGCTTCCCAGTACCATTTCCCAAAGACAGACAGATATTCAAAACCATAGAGGAAACATTTTCCCCCCCTTTCTATTGGCAAGCCCTTCAGGCTACCCCCCAGGTCAGCTGCTACAACAGGGTACCTGAAAGCACTTTCAGCCATCCACACCCCTGTCTCCCCAGAAGACCTGGTGGTTCAAGTCAGCTTCAGAAAGGGCTTCCTCAGTAGCAGTGACTTTGACCTTACAGGATGGTCTAATGCCCTTAGACAGGACAGCACTTGTATTCTAAGCACATATTAGCTACACCTATCCAGAAAACTTTTAGAACAGTTTCTCTCTATGGCTTGGGAGTTGTTACTCAGAATATGGACTTTGCTACTCAACAGGGGAGGACTTACACTGGGTCAAATGCTGGTTGTTGGGGAGACCATAGGTTCCAGAGAAAGGAATAAAGGAGACAGTCATTATTATCCTTTTGCCAGATGGCCAGTGGCCAAACTGCCTTCTAAATAATTAGTTTATATCTATGAATGAAAATGTCCCAAAAGAAGTTGTGTCTGGTTGTGAATAAAACACTCCTGGAAGGGGGTTTGTGTGTGCAGAGACTGATTGGAATTTCAATGCTGTGGAGAGACTGAAATTTTGTAGGTTCAGAGGCCAATTACTTTATCTTGGGCTAGTTTTATTCCTTGCCCCACTCTGTGTCTGAACTAACACCTTGTGATAATAGATAAACACTTCTTAGAAACTACTCCCTTAGTGGAATATTAGCTTCCACTAATCCAAGATCTAAGAATGTTATCAGACAATATTTGAGGGCTATCAAGAAACTTTCCCCATCTTGAGGTATCTGCCTCCCTGGTGTACCCACCAATTTATCTTAAATTTGCTGTGGTTTATGACTTTCTTTGTTCTGTCAAACTATAAAAACCCTGTGAAGTTGTTTCCATGTCAGAACATGGAATTCAAAGTAACAGAAATCTGTGTTCCTGGGTCATGGTGACTCAAAATAGCTCTAGAATAAACTATCCAATTCCCTTTAAGAGGAGAGCTGTAGTTTTTACATCAATATAAATTAGCATTGCTGTCATTTTTCATCAGAGATGTTTCTTACTGAAGCAGGTGACAATTAAGGCTGAGAGTCATATAACAAGTCAAAGTGCAGAGACTAAGGGATGATAGGGGAATTGGCTTTAAATGGGTTGTCTTTATCACCCCCTCTAACATCAAGGAAAGAGTGAACAGAAGAATGAAAGAGCACCAGGGTGGGGAGGCATATTACATGAAGATGTCTTCTTTTTTATTTTTATTTATTTTTTATTTTTATTTTTTGGTTTTTCAAGACAGGGTTTCTCTGTGTAGCTTTGGAGCCTATCCTGGCACTCGCTCTGGAGACCAGGCTGGCCTCGAACTCACAGAGATCTGCCTGCTTCTGCCTCCTGAGTGCTGGGATTAAAGGCATGAGCCACAAATGCCTGGCTGAAGATGTCTTCTTAATATTATATTTATTGCATTCATGAACGCATTACAGCTGTTGTCCCTTGCACAGACCTGAACACGATTGGGCCCATCAACATTTCATCATAGAAGGGGGAAGGGCTTATGGGGTCCCACATTTCTGTGAGAGACTACTGACAGTTACTGGGTGTCTGGAATAGACACTGATACCTTCTCGTGCAACTTCCCACACATGTGTATGCAACTGACTCTAATCAAGCTCCCTGTGTCACATGCATAAGAAATACTCAAAATTACAATGGGTAGGGCATGCTGGAAGGGATACAGTTTCATTCAGAGGGGAAAGAAAAGGAGATGAGAGAGGGTTAATGGGAAGTGAAATGACTAAAATTCATTATATACATTATAGGATTGTCAAAGAATAAAAAATTTAAAAAATTAAATAGAACAAAATGGGTTTTGAATCTTCTTGAATAACATAAATCACACCATAAATCTTTTCTTTGCTGTATGGAAGGGTCAATTAATATAGTCTAGAAGAGAGAACAATCCCGGGATTAGTTAGGAAAAATTATTAGAAGATATACATATATACAAACACAAATACATAAAAATATGTGGACAGATTTGAAATGAAAGCAATCTCTCAAACAGTAACATTTTCATTATACCATTTGTTTGCTCATATTCTTTCCAGCATTCATTATTGTCTCTGTGTAATGCACAAGCATCTTATAATGGCTTGTAATTCTTCACAAAGTGACTTCTGCTTATTGCTTTTATTTTACAGTTGTCATCAGTTTTTGAGTGGGGTAGCCCACCAGTATGAATCACCATTTGGTGTCATTCCCCCAAACTAAAGGTTGCCTTCATGTCTGTGCACATTCTACTTTTCTTTTACTTTAATGCTCTTTGGCTCTATTATTGGCTGATTCATTTTATGCTTCTGAATTTATATGTTATCTCTTTAAATTCCTTTTATCTTCTTTCTGCCTCCAGTTAAATGTTTCTGTTAGGTGCCATTTTCTTTCTCTGTGGTAGATTTTAATCATGACATTGTATTGACATATACTCCACAGAATAACAAGATCTTTGAAGACTGAAATAAGATTTGTTATCCCTACTGTATGCCCTGTACTCAAGTATAAGGCATACACTAGTCATCAAATGCAGATTATTTATGGAATCTTAAGTACATAGAGGATGCATTTGGAAACTTCACAAAGGCATGACTTCTTACTTGTAGAATGATAATGGTGATTTGACAGTTTTATGATCATCATGACAGATATATTCATAACATATGAGTCATATACAAATGTATGATTGAACTATGTGCTCAACTGCAGTTATATGCTATATATATATATATACTTAAATGTATACTATACATATTTTATTTGAACATTTTGTATGTGTTTATATATTTATGTATATGTATATAGGCTAGCAATCTTTTAATTCTCAAGTTTTGGGGGTGCTGTTCCTCCTTCTAAGATTATATCCTCCATCACTTCTATGTTTCAGCCCAATGGACTTCTTAGAAACTACTCCCTTAGTGGAATATTAGCTTCCAATATACACCCAGTCTTTAGGTGTATAACAGTTGATCTGGAAATTCTTATTTCACCTCCAAGGCTGGTCTGGGGCTGACCTTGTCTACAACCTTCCATTGCTTTTCTGATCAGCTACCAATGCCTATATTAACTAGCTTGTAAATTTAGTGAGAGAAAATTTTGTAATTTCATTTTCCCCTCCATCATATAACATGTATGTAGAAATATGGATTCAAATAATTGTTTCCTTCTTTTTCCTTGATAATCTCATTTCAACTTTCTTTTATAAGTATGTATAAAATCTAGGACCCACATTTGAGATGAAGTGTGGTATTTGTCTTTATACGTCTGACATATTTTGCTCAAAATAGTGATCTGCATTGCATCTATTTTCCTGGAAACAACGTGACTTTATTTTTTATGGTTGAATAAAATTTCATTATGCATTATTATATAACAATTCCTCCCAAATGAAACATTCCATCTAGGAGGCAGCTTAGTGCCACACGGGATGTTCTTGTTCTAAGAGGAGGTGAAATCTTCCACCCTACAGGGAAGCTTATTAATCTCAGGAAGTAAACAACTCAAAGTCTTTAGGAAGTTCCTGAAACCGATCAGATTCACTAGGTCCCTCCCTCCCCAAGCATATATAGGTTTTAAAGGCAGTTAAGAAGCAGTATCAGGCAAGTGGAGTTGCTTAGCAAAGGGTCTGGCCAGGCAAGCCAACTGGAGAAACAAAGATGAG